CAAGAATAACAAAATATCAAGAATAGTTTTATTATGAAGTTTTAATACTTCAAGAATGATGCTTCTTTAAGATTTAGTTTAGGAAATTTGACAATCATTTTAAAAATAAATTAAAAATTTTAAGTTTTAAAAGCAAAGTCATGAATTAGTTTTAAGGAGTAAAATTGCAAGTAAATTAAAATTTTAAAATTAAGATTAAAGCACAAAATTAAAAAGGAAAAATAAATTAAGAAATATGAGAATGCTTTATTTTTGTTTTTTTAATTAAGTTAATGGAGTTATTATCCTATAAAATAAGAAAAAAAAATTTAAATATTATAAAAAAATATATTATTTTGTTTTATTAAGTTATTTTATAATCAACTTTTATTTTACAATCAAGTGTTTTACGTGATTTAAAGGTAAAATTATAAATTAAATTAATTTTATTGATTTAAAATTTTATAATTTAAACTAATCTAATTTTATATCAATTTAATTTAATTTTTAATTAAATTAAATCAATTTAAGTTAAATCAATTAGATAAAATCGGATATTAATACTCCTGCTTGTTTCATGTTACAATTTTGTTATTATTTAGAGTGTAGATTCGTAGAATAATAAGGGAATAAAATTCTCATTTTGCTTATCAACTATCTAAATAATTCAATAGGTATCTTTTTTTATTAAAAATAAAATATTTTGAATTTTAATCACATGACATACATATGGAGTGATATAAGAAATAAAAAATGATTATCTCTCAATTGTACAATGAAAATAAAAAAAAAATTTCCATTTTGCTCCGCTACTTTATTAAATTATTCTCATTTCTTGGATTCCAAATCTCAGCGTAGATTCCAAACAACTACTGATTTTTTTTTTTTTTAAAGATTAAATCAACCCTTTACTCCCACAGCTCTGCACTTTTCTTGAAATGGAGAAATTTTATTTCTCCATGGAATTTTGTAAGTCTGGTAGAAGCACAAACCATTGTTGTGCCAGATTGCAGAATTACAGTTTCACGTGCTGCACGTCAATGGCTACGCCTACACCAACAGTTGGTTCTTGTAATACTCGAAATGAAATCAGCAGAACAGAATCATTGGTGAAATTATACATGTTAGCATCAGGAGTTGATTAAGGACTTCTTCAAGAAGCTTGCTTTCAGTTGAGGACCATAAGTAAAATCGAAATTCTTTAGAGTCTTTAATCTTCATCCCCTTCAAACTAACATTCAAAATGGCTGCCTTTCTCAAATAGATGACCAGTCAAACAGAGTGTTCTTTTCTCTTCTGCCGAAGGAATGAAGAGTAATGAGTTGGAATTTCATACATCTTGGTATGAAAATTTTTCCTTGATATTATTAATAATTGGATGACTTTTATGAAATTCTATTTAATTTTACATAATTTTTATTTTTTTATAGAAAAATACTTAATTAAAAGAAATTATAATTTTTGGAACCAAACTGCAGATATTAAAAATCTGACGATTAAATTTCATAGAAACTAGAAATTATGAACCAATTTTGTCATTTTGTCATTAACCAAACTTGCTTAAAAGGCCATAAACCCGACACGGACTTTTTACTAAGTCGGCATCTCCTTGACGGTGTCGATCCTTTGGGCAATTTCAGCGAATCCTTCCTGCGCATGTTATTTTGGTGAGTCTCATGTTATATCAATTAGGTTTTCTATGCTCTTATCTTCCTCAACTTTTTAATATTTAATATTTAGAAATCACATTAAATTTTAATTAATTTAAAATCAAATTAAATCCAACCTAATAAAAAAAATTCTCTCACTATCAATCTTTTTATTTACAAAATTTAAATTCAATATATTATTTAAAAACAACTAACTATTTTCTTATACTCCAATTAACAAATCGCCAATTTTTCTACACTCTTATAAATACCCATTTAAGATTGGAATTGGAGGAGTTTTAGGGGAAGGCTGTTGACAGCTCTCTTTGGAGCACTTTCGAAAACTAAGTTAGAGACGGCAAGAATTTATTAATAGTAAAAGATGAAGGAAGTCAATATTCTTAAATTAGGTTTTATTTTTTCTTGATTTTATTTTTATTTTGATATAGATTATTGGTTCATAAATATGATTTCAAGTTTTAATATTTTTATTATAAATTAGTTTAGTCAATTAAGGTTATGGTATAATTTAATCAATTTAATATCAGTTTTTATGGTTTTTATATTTTTATATTAATATTTTATAATGAGTATATATATTATTTAATATTTTCAATTCTTAATCACTATTGAAATTGATTTAGGGAGCAAAATTAACACCAAAAGGAACAATAATTTCTAATAAGTTTGGTATTAATCTCCTTGTATTCGGTAATTACATTGAGTTTCGATTAATTTAAAATTGAGTTGCGTTGAACCCCATTAAAGGAAAACTCTTATAACATCTGTTTTTTCATTTACAAGACTTGAATTTGAAACCACATTTAAGAAAAATTAAGTTTCTTCCACTTGTACCAACAAGTCATTGGTATAATTTCTAATAATATATACCTAAATTAAATGAAAACTAGAGATAGATTAATGTGATTTATGCAATTTTAGTAATAAATGAAGTTAATTTTCTATATAAACTTGAGAATTTTACATGATATATTGCGATTTTATTTATTTAAATTCAAATAGAGATAGAATAGATTAATAAGTGAGAATAGATTTGGTATAATTTGAAAAATATATTAAATTAAATAAAAAATCTACTATAAGAAATAAATATCTTGAAAGCATAATAATTTTAAATTTATATTGGTTGGTTATGATAAAATCAAATATCTTATTACCTCATATCTTAATTATCTTTATTTTATTGTTATTTTTTAAATTATTTTTAACTAAAAATTCTTTCTTTCTGATTGTTTAAAATCTAAAACTAATTATTTTTACTACTTAGTTAATTAATAATCTTTGATAATCTGGCTCTATCGAAAGTTTGAAATTTTGAATTTAATTAAATCGTATGACATATGCATGAGATAGCATAAAAGATAAAAGAGAATTACTTTTCATTGTGTAAACAAAAATATATATATAAAAAATAAATATTTGTGGATTCAATACTTTACTCATCATTATATTACTTAAAGTTACTAATGCACTTGTTAAAGTACCTTTTAATGATCAAAGAATATGTTTGATTAGGGAAAACTTTTCTTATAATTTTTTCATATAAGGTTATTTATATAATTTTACATCTTAATATTATGGTAAAATAATAATATTTTTAACATTTATTTTTTCTAACATAATTCTTAACTCTCCTAACTCTGCCTACGCAAGCATAGTTAATAATTTTTTTATTAACTCTTTTAATATCACTTTCTCACTAAATAAAAAAATTAACGTCTTAATAAAATTCAAACAAATCTATATATATATATATATATATATTGATAATTAGAGAATTGCTAACTACCAAACAAGTCAGGTTCTAGGGTAGCCAACGCCTCCAGCATCGACCAGACAAAGAAAGACCGACATCAGCCAGACATTTATAGGCAAAAGGTATCCATTTGCCCTTTAATTTTTTAAATTTAAGGCATTTTACCTCTTATATTACAATATATAATTTTTTATCCTCAATGATTTTGAGTTTAGAAAAATAAGTCAAAATTTAACATCTAAAAATTTATATGTAGCATGTGCACCATTAACCTCCGTCGTCTGCACATGTCAGCATTAACTTTGACTTTTTTTTACATGGCAAATCCAGACCCTTTCCAAAAAATTTTTTTTCTTCCCCCCTTTCCTCTTTCCTCTTTCCTCTTTCCCTTTCCTTTTCTTCAACTTCTGCAAATCCATTCATCTCAACCAATCTCTACTGATTCACAAAAATGGAACAAAGCTGGGAAATCCACTAAATTTGGTACTATTTTTACTTGCCAATTGAAAACATTTTTCCCTTGTTAGTTCAATCCCCACAAATATAAGTTATAAGGCAGCAGCTCATTGATTCTCCCTCTTCAAAGCCTCCGGCAATGTTCCTGTGAAACAAACTAGTAAAAGGGAGAAAACCCATCTGAAAATGAGTACTGTGAATCTGGGTTTGTGGGTTCAGACCTGCTTCGTCTCTAACCAAGCAACTAGATCCAGATCCATACCCATACCCACATCCTCAACTTTTGGTCCTTTCAAAGATTCGGTATGCCGGTGGTGGCGTTCCAACAAAATCCTTTGCTGTTTCTTCTGTTCCTTTTATCTCTTCTGTCCTTACCAAGGAAGATACCATCAAGGAAGAAGAGCAAGACCCACAAAACCTACCTTTGATTTCAAATCCTATATGGTCCAAAAGGCAAATTCTGTTAATCAAGCCTTGGATGCTACCGTTTCGCTCTGGGAACCTTTGAAGATCCACGAAGCAATGCGCCACTCATTCTTGGCTGGGGGAAGCGTGTGAGACCGATGCTCTATATAGCAGCGTGAAAGCTCATCGACGAGCATGAATTGACGGCCATGTCTGCTACTTGTACCATCGAGATGTTCCATACCATGTTGCTAATCCACGACGACCTCCCTTGTATGGATAACGATGATCTGCGTAGAGGAAAACCCACAAATCAGGCGTGCTAGTGTGAAGGAGCTCAGTGCGTGGGTTCCATGGAACCCAGCGCTTGGGTTCCAAAGAACCCACGCCAAGGTTTCAAGGAAATCTTGGGCATTAATGTGGAAAGAAATCTTGGGCATTAATGAAGAAAAAAAATATTGCTTTTCAATTCTCACAAAGCTGCGGCACTTTTTTGATTAAAAGAAAAAAAATAATAAAAAAGAAGGAAGCTGCGGCATCTTTGAGAACAATGAAGAAGTTAGGAAACGAAGGGAAGAATCAAAGACGTTAATTACCATTCATCCAATTCTTCTCCGGTTGGAAATGGAAAGCTGTTCTCTGCCATGAAAGCATGCTATTGTTCCAAGGAAATGACCGCAAGCGCCCAACATCGGCAAAATGGCCGTTCGCCTTCTCGGAGACTCCGGCCACCGGACCTCGTGACAAAGGGCGCACAATTTCCGGCTGCCCTGAGGAGGCAGCCAATGACCCGCTTTCATTTCCATGAACTTGGACATTGTCTGATCCCCTGTACCCGATCAAAACCACAAACAAATCAAGAGCCAAAAGGTCAGAAACGACGGCGAGATAAAGGCAAATGGGCCTCCGACGGGTAACTGGAGACCCAATTGGGTTGGCCTCACCGGGAAGGGGAGTATAGCCGGGATTGGAGACGGGAAGGGCCCACAAGCTAAAATTACGGAAAGTAGAATTCAATTCCAAGTTCGACTTGCCACCATGTCCACAAAATTTAAATTTATGCTGATATGTAATTGTATAACGGAGGGCAACGTGCACATGATGCATATTATCCTTCAACGTTAAATTTTGTTTTATTTTTTAAAATTTAAAAATATTAAGAATAAAAATTTATATATTATAATATAAAAAATAAAATACCTTAAATTCAAAAAGTTGAAGGGTAAACGGTACCTTTTGCCGACATTTATACAAAATAACGAAATAAGAAGGGGGTTGGACAGCCTTGGCGATGGCATAAGTGGCCATCATACATTCTCTGACCATGTGCCTCAAGGGAATACGGGTTACTCTCTCTACTTTTAAATAATGATTACTTTTTAATTTTAAATTTATTTTGAAATAATTATTATTTTTTAATTTTAAATTTATTTTAAATTAATTAATATTTTTTATTTTAAATTTGTTATTATTTATTCACTTTAATTAATTATTTAATTATAAAAAATTTATTTTTTTATTTTTTAAGAGTATTACCTATAAATATAAAATTATCTTTAAATTTTTAATTTCAAAAAATAAAAAAATAACAACTATTTAATAAAAAGGGCATTTAAAAGACCAATAATCTACTAGTTGAAGTAAAAAGGATTTGATTTTCCTTAAATAAAGATTTAAATTTGAATTTTGTAAATAAAAAAATAAGTATTTGTAAGATTTTTCTCTTTATGAAATTTGATGTAATTTAATTTTAAATTAATTAAATTAATTATAACCTAATGTAATTTTTAGATATCAAAATTAATATATATATATATATATATAAGCGCTTTCAAAACGCCCTATAATTCAAAATGGGAGTGCTGTGAGCATGATAAGGACTGGGAGCACTAGAGGGTGAATGAAAAGCAACATGGTAGTCTGTTCCAATAATCACAAGATTAAATTGCTAGTTAATAGCAATATGGAGTCCATAGAATGCCCATAATTCAGCAACTAAGGCAGTGGTGTTAACAACATAGCGAACAAAAACAATGACCCATATATTGACCCTGAGAATTACGAAACAAACCTCCACAAGACCACAGCCAGCAAGTCTGGAATTACCAATAGCGGAGCCACCGGTGTTGAGTTTAATCCAATCCGGCAGAGAAGGGTCCCAAGAGATCAAATGGGGTTGTTTAGACTTACAAATGGAAGGAATTGGCTGGGAGGACCAGAATTCAGCTGCTCGCTCCACAATCATCTCATATGCTGTGACCATCAAACTCACTACCACGATAAAGCACGTTATAGTACTAAAATTTTAACAAAATTTTATTATAAATAACATTTTTTAATTTTTTGTATAAACATTTTTTAACTACATCCCTTTTAATAAAATCTCTTATGATAAAGTTGGATTTTAATCTAACGGACTCTAAATGCCTAATACTTTTTTGCCTTCTCATACTCATAACAAGAGCATTTTGTTTTCCCTTCTTATCTTGTTACAACACCTGTTTAATTGTTAGTGCACAATTTAATTATTAGGTGATATCTAATTATTGATCATTGTTACCTTCATGTTCTAGAATAAAAAATATTTTTTATTTAAAATTTTTTCCTGATTAATAGTCATTTTTTCAAAGCTTGATGGAGACAAATGTAACCCTAGACAACATATAATCTTATTTATCAGTAACGGAGCCAAAACACAGGAAGGGAAAAATATCGAATGGCTAGTATTATTACCATCGTGTCGGTGTAACAGAAATAGACACTCGGAGAAGTGATCCTAGAAGCTATACGAAGAAAGCGATGTTTACCTAACAATTGGGTTTTTAAATGAAAGTTTTGCTACCGGAGAAGTTTGCATCTAGGTTTTAAGTGTTGAGGGTAGAGCGCTTAGGAAAATTAATAATTTTAATGCGTAAATTAATGTGTAGTGTAACTTTAAGATTATTTTTTTTAAATGAATTTTTTTAATGGGAAATAGATAAACATATTAAGTAATAAAAAAAATACAATAAAATCTTCATTTCATGGCATATAGCCAAAATTAAAATAACGTAAGGACAAAATCATAAGCATAACCTAGAGCACTAATAACAGATTTAAACTATACTCATAACAAATATAAATAATTAAATAAAGAGAGCCATCTGAAACTAAGGATTGGATTTATAATCGCTATATGGGCTAAATAAGGCCATTAATGTAGAAAGGGAAGTCACTATGAGCATTAAGAACTACTGGACATTCTCACCTATTTAACCAACTTCTTAGGGAGAGCAAGGGATTCTAGCAACAAAAAAACTCCTAACCCACAAGTTGCCACCCTACTTGTTCTTGAAAAAAAACAACTAAGAGGGGTATGGGTTTTTTCCTAACAAGCACAAGGCCCCTTAATCGCCTCCATATGCTCTTAGTTATGTTCCCATCTTTACCGATCCTCTTCAAACGCATGCTATCGAAACTCATTAAGGGAACTAAAGCCCCTTTGTTGGCTTGAAAATCAGGCTTCTGACATAGACCATAGCAGGCCCTATTAATAGCATCCCTTTCCTTCGACAATCGGTTAGTTGATCGAGAAATAATGTGAACCAAATTCGCCAAATTTGACCCTCGCCAAGATCCCATCTGAGGAGATGCATCAAAATGAGATTATTGCTCATTAAATCAGAGAAACCCACTTCATTAGCAAGATTAATTCTAGTCGCAACTTTCAAAAATCAATAGATATAAACCCTAAAAACCCAAAAAACCACTACCTTGTGGTCCTTTAGGTTAGAGTTTCCAAAGCAAGACAACGACAAGAGGAAGGAAGAGATCAAGAGGAGGAAGGAAAGGGGTAAAAAGAAAGAAGGGATGAAGGAACTCCTATACCAGAGAGAAACCTTAAGGAGGAAAATCCGCTACCACTGCTCTCAACTTTAGAAGTAGTGCATGGGAGTCCTAGGGAAAAAAAAAAAGAATTTTAAAATATATTAAAATTGTAAAAAAAAAACGAAAAAACAAAAGAGAAAGCAAGTTTGGATTATTTAAATTAAGCTAGAAGCAACCCTCTTCATGCCCCTTGAGTGACGTGCAATATTAATATAGTCTACTCCTTGAAATTCCTGAGTGTTTATTCTTTATTGTCCCATTTCTTGCGCTCTTCATTTGAAGATATTTAGGTTATATTTGGTATAATTAGTGGAAAATCTCATTGTACTTTAAAGGTTAAATGCTAAATTTGGTCCCTCAACTTTAGTGAGTTGCACATTTTTGGTCCCTTAACAATTTTTTGCACTTTTTTGATCCCTCAACTATACAAAATGCACTCCGTTAATCCTTCTGTTAATTTGGGCTGTTAAGTCTGCCCATGTGGCATTTTTTATATTTTTTTGATGACGTGGAGAGTAAAATTTAGAAAGGTGCTGATATGGACAAAATGTTTTGCCATGTAATCTTCCCGCGAAGTCAAAGGTGCCAAACTCAAATGGGCCCCACATTGACTGCCAAAGCACCAATAAATTACTCCTGTGAACCCTAAATTGCTCTTTCATCTCCACTTCTTCGATCTTAACCCATTTCTTCTTCTTCTTCTCTTTTCTCGGGGGAACTTGAGGAATTGCCCAAATGCAGGGAATTCGTGATGAGAGTTGCTCGAGTTGGGTTGCCTCTACTGCTAGTGGGGGTGAATCCTTATAATATATCTATGATTGTGGTTTGAATGTTGTGGTGCGAACGTCGTTCACTTACCAGAACATGGGAAAAAGGTTTCGTGGGTGCCCTAAGTTGGTGGTATGTTCTATCCTAAAGCTTAAGTTCATCTGCACTGAATTTTCTTTTTTGATTTAATGATTTAACCTTGTTAGAAACCTTGCAAGTACTTCCATTTTCTTCTTGGTGAAGAGACAATTGAGGGCAGACCAAGGGAGTTGCTTTTAATATTAAAAGACAGGGAACAGAAGCTGAAGAGAGAGAATGAGAAATTGAGTAAGGAAAATACTGATTTGGTGCAAGAAAATGGGAATTTGAAGAATGAGAATGATATTTTGAAGAACGAAAATGAGACTTTGAAGAATGATAATGGGTATTTGGCAAATTAGTGTGAATTATGGATGAAGAAGATGAAGACAACTGAGAAGAAATTGAAAAAGTTGGATAAGGATTACCGGACATCAAATAAAGTCAACCACATAATGTGTGTGGTTTTTGTTGTGTTCGTGGCTATACTTGTCATATTAGTTGGTGTGTTTAGGTTGATGTAATGGAAATATATAGGTGTTTATATATAGGTGTTTGTATCTATATGTATAATGTTTTTGTTATGTTTTTGTCAATTCCCAGTTGTTGAAATGCAATGCATTCCATTTCTAGGTAACACAGTTTCTGGGTTGTTTCAATTGCATTTTTATACCAATTTCTGCACAAAAGCATTCTGGTATCCAAAGATAGGCAAATTTGG